AACCAGTTCTCTTTCTCCTTGGAAAGCAGAGCACCTAGACACAAGGCCAGGAACAGTCAGCAAAAGTACCCCCAGGATCATCCATGAATGCAGTCACACTTCCTGTGACTGCACAAAATAACAACCTACAATCACAAGGTTTTCCAGCCACGGGGGTGGAGTGATGCCTGTGCTCTGCCGAGGCTGCACCCGGCACACAGGAGGTGTCCCTAAACTACAGGTACATGTGAGTGAGGCTGGGCAGCAAGCAGCCCTGCCTGCCACCAAGTTCCAAGTTGCAGGATATAACTCCTGCTCCAAAGCCACCCAGAAGGAAACAGCCCAAAGGTCTTCTGCTCAGAAGAGCTTAACACTTTGCAGAGGCTTAGCATACAGCAGGGAAGGAATGGGCCAAACTCTGCAATCAGAAGGCCTGAGTCTGAATCCTGACTGTCCCACTTGTGACAACAGTACCTACTTGATGGCATGGTAGTTGCATGGCCGTGCTCTGTACAGGATGTGACTGACATTGGTATTAGTGACAAGGGCAGGTCTCTTTGATTTGTTAAATCCTGTTTGGGAGCATCACAGGGACTCCTCTGGGAAGAAGAGGCGACCAACATCCCTGCCCAGGTCCAGAAGCCCAGGGCTGTTGCTAAATTGCCTCCTCCACCTGCCCATTTCCTCCTAAAGGCTCCAGGGGCTGCCACAGAGGGAAGCAGGAAACGTGGCACCTGGGACGCTCACAGCTCCCTCCCTCCCATCTGGCAGCATCCACACTGACAGCTCCACAATTTCTGAGCACCTAGGAGGAACCAGTGTTCATCTCTGATGCCTGGCATTAAAGATGCAGGCGCTCCAAGAATACTTGCTGAATGAATGAATGAATGGAGTCAGGACTGGGAAAAGAACCTCACCTCATTGCTTTTACTCCCAGGAGCAGGAATTTGAAATGGAAATGAAATGGAATTCTTAGATTATGTAACTTCTAAGCGTTTTTTTTTTTCCTGGGAGGCATGCGGAAGTCAGACAAAGTGCTTACAGTGGTTGAGTTCCTTGGGAAATGTGAGCAAAAAACCCTCCCAGACACAGCCCTTGGCCACTTTAGGTCTGGAGGGCCTTCATCTATCTGCAGGCTGACTTACTAGCAATGTTACCAACTAAATGACCTGGGAATGAACCCTGACAGAAGTTTATCTGACCCCCCTCCTGCCTCTCCTCTTGACACCTACCTTCTTCCTTGAGAGTCTTACACAATCTGAAGATAAATGGGGGATTACAGGGCAAACTAAGAGAAGCAGCAGAGAAGCAATTGGTAGAGTGATGAGCAATTCTCTCTTTCTGGAGAAAACCAGGCAAGTCGCATGGCCCCAGCACCCCATGGGTCTCTCTTTCTGGAGAAAACCAGGCAAGTCGCATGGCCCCAGCACCCCCCATGGGAGGGTTTAGTAAATAGCAAACAATGCACCTCATTTATTGAGATTTAAGCATTGTGCAAAATGCTTTACACGTATCATCCTTAAAGTAAACCTCTGAAAGAGGCACTGTCCTCATTTTACAGATAAGGAAACTGAGTCACAGAGCAGTTGAGGCCACTTACTCAACATCACAGAGCCAGGATTTGAACCCAGGACTGTCCAACTTTCAAGCCTTTGGTCTTGCCATGATGCTGCGCTCAGTGACCTGGTATCTGTGAAACAGCAGACGTGTATCTATGGACTTTCCTGGTATTGCTTAGGGAAAGGCGGGTGACAATTTAGGAGAAATATGGGCATGAAGCAGGGAATGAGGTTTGAACTTGAGGCTCCTTCTGCCCAGAGGTTCTGGGAGTACGACCTGGGATATCTGAGATGGCTTTTTAGCCGACAGGACGGGGCAGCCTTCTCTGCAGTGGATTAGAGAAAGGGAGTGAGGGGTCTTCTGATACTGGCCGGTGCATTTTGGGGTGAGGCTTCAGGGAGGATATGGTATGGATGCCCTGGGAGCATTCTGGGGTGGCACACAGTAGCGGGGCCAAGGCATCCCCACTCTCTCCCTTTCCAGCACACACATGCAGTCCTGCCTCCTCGGTGACCCTGGAACAAATCTCAGCAAAGGACCTTTTCATGAACTTCAGGCAGGTCCACTAACTGCTAGTAAGAAGCCTACTGAAGCAGGTTCCCAGGAGAACAGTTTGTTAGGAGCATGTGGTTTTGCACCAACAAGCAGGGCCAAAATGATGACACCTTCCCTTTGGCTTGAGGCAGTCTGGTAGGAGACTGTCCTGTGTCTGGTGCAGGGAAATGACCTGGAAGAAAGCAGGAGCAGCCCAGGAGAGCGTCAAAGCTGAGCCCTCCTTCCACTGTGTTATTGACCGGGAAGTGAGACATTTGAGAATTATGGGCTTTGTGTTTTTTCTAGAGACTTCCACCTGAGGGTCTCAAAGTAGACTGAATATTATCAGATACTGGCTGTTAATAAACCCAGTAAACAGAAGGGAATCTGAGCTCCACCTCCTGATATCACAGACTGAGTCCAGCACGAGGGCACCTGGCGGGAGTGACGGCTGCCCGTTGTCCGCTCACCTCTGACACTCAGACTGGGGGGTTCTCGTCTTTGGTGGGACACAGTTGACACCCTTGGTTGTCCTTTCTACCACCACTCCCCAGACCTCGAGCATATGTCAAACACCTCCGAATTACTGCATGAACTACCTGGGAGGAAGGGACCCTGCAGGTTTCATTTAACCCACCTAGATGTCTAGGAGCCTGCTAGAGCTGCTCTGAGACCCTGCTTCCATTTCCAGTTGGCGCCTACTCTTGGGGCAGTGGATTCCAGGCATTCCTTCTCTTGGTGTGCATTCACAACTCCATGAGGCCACCAGATCGCTAGCACAGCACCTTGCACATCATAGGTGCACGATAAATACTTGCTTCATTACAGAATGAAGGCTCTCTTTGACCCCCTGAACCTCCCCACCCATCCAGTAAGGACATGAGCATCCTTGTCTCACTTTCCTTTGGGGGTGAGGGTGAAAAAGGGAAAGCCCCTTTTCTAATCTCCCCGTCACGGCTCCAGACTGCTCTTCCCCTACTCCCGTCACATTCAGGCTGTAGAAAGGAGGCTCAGAGCCATGGAAGCTGCCAGAGGCCCTGGAAGGAGCTGTGCTTTGTTCCAGGTCGCAGCTCAGAGAACTAAACAAGGCTGCAGCTGTCTGCACTGCTCTGTACTGTATTCCCTGCGGCCGACCCCAAGGCCTGAAGACCCTCCATCTGCCCTCTTTCCCTTGCCCACTCTCTGCCAGACACACCTGTGGTACTCCTCCTGTGCACCTTCCCTTCAGTAGGCGTCTTACAGTTGGGGTGCTTCTTGTTCCTCCCTGTCTACCTTGAGGTGAAGGGTGGTTCTGGTTCCTCCCTGTCTACCTTGAGGTGAAGGGTGCTTCTTGTTCCTCTCTGTCTACGTTGAGGTGAAGGGGTTGCCTTGGCAACAGTGATGTCCCTTGTGAGGTGCTTGCATTCCACTGATGTCACAGAGTAGGCCACACAGATGGAGGGGGGATGCACGTTCTACAGGAAATATTCACAGACCCCCAAACCGCTGAGGAGGATCCTGCAGACCTCTCGGGCACTCCAAAATGACCCTCCTTCCTCTTCTAGAAAACCTTCCCTCCTCTCTGTCCCCTCTGGCTGCCTGTGCAGGACATGCGTCAAACCTGACTTTCCCTTTCCAAGAGGTGGCCAAAAAGTCAGGACAAGCAGCTTTGTCCTCCACTCTGAACAAACCAAGCGCAAGAGAACCGGTAACTCCTTCCTTCTCATCATCTGGGGCAGTCTGGCTCCCCAGTGCCTTGCCCTTTACCCAAGCTTTAGAGGAGGGAGCAGTGGCACGGATGGGGAAGTTGGGGGCCCAATCCAGTAGAGAATATAGATCCTTCATTGACCACTGTTGTCTTGAGACGCTACTACTACCTGGATTACGGGTCTGTGCCAGGCACGGTGCTCAGCACTACCTATGCATGTCCTACAAAGGGTTATTCCCATTTTGCCAATGATGAAACTGAGGCTTGGAATAGAACATTTGCCCAAATACAGAGAACATCCAACTACTGAGCAGGGAGTCAGGATGCAGCCCTGCTCCAAAGCCCATGCCTTACTCCAAAGCCCATGCGAGTCACACCTCCTTGGCTCTGGGGCTCCTGGAGACTGGCTTACTAGAGATGACCCAAGAGGGGAGCCCTTAAAGCCCAAAGAGGCCGTTTGGCCTTGCCAGCTGGCCTGAGGCAGCCAAAGCAAGCACGACCTTAGGACGGCTTCACAGCATGCGCACGCTGGGGCTGCAGTAAGTGGTCAGCCACGGCCCTTCCACTTTCCCAAGCATTTGCTCAGATAGGGACCATGTTTCCTTGCTCTGTGCTTGGCTTCCTGCTGACCCATCTGGGCCACCTAACCATCTTCTTGATTTGCATAAGCATTAACCCCTGTGGCCTGGCCCACCAATCCTGAAACTGTATAGGAGTTACTCAACTTAGGCAAATGCAATTCTGTGTAACTGGGAGACAATGCTTATAAAACACTAAACAAAATGAGTAAATAAAATAAAAATCACAAAATTATGAAAGAGGAAAAGGAGAAATGCTACCAAGTAAACCCTGCCCCTGAGNCGGATTGATGTGGAGGTGACCCCCACCGAATGCTCTACTAAAGAAGGGGTTTTCTTGCCCACTCTTCCTACTCTTTAGGCTTACGAATAACTGGGGTGATGCCTCTCTTGGTTAAGGTACCCTAGCTCTCAGCTCAGATCACGTTCCCTGTGCCCCCCAGAGCTCAGTGGCTCAGTAATTGAATTTGGGGCAGGAGGGCCGCGCTGGAGCGCAGCTGTCTCTGGGCCCTGGCGCGGTGGCCTTGGGCGCTGGGCGCTGCGCAGAGCCCAGGAGGCGTGGCTGAGGATGCGAGCAGGACCCTGGGGAAAGGTGAGCCCTGCGGACAGCGGCCTGTGGGTGGGGGGCGCCGCCAGGCGGGGGAATGTTGGCTCTGGAGAGGGTGGGCCGGCCTAGGTTCCCTTACCTGCACGGCGGGGAGGAACTTGATGGGTTCCTCCGCCCAAAAGCCACCGGCGAAAGTGACGTCTCTGAGCCTCGGGAAGCGAAGCGCGCGCAGCCGGCTTTGGGTCCCGGAAGGCTGGTCAGCCTATTCAGCCACCGGGCTACATCCCTCCCTCTCTCCTCCCCCGCAGGACGCATACCCGCAGGGCCGGTGCCAGAGGGCCTGATCCGCAGCTACAGCACGAGGTTCTGCACAGGACGCGCCTTGTCCTCCGGGCCAAAGGCATCAGGTGAGAAGCAGGGGGCCAAGTGCCCCACAGGGGCCGTGTAAAATTAGGGGCACCCTGCTCAGATTCCAAAGGGCTCTCTTTTGCTTTCTTCTGAGGCAAAGCCAATAAATGGTTAGCAAAGTGTTCTTTAGCGGCCTTCCTGAGAGAGAGCTTTTTCTTAGAGTTGTGTCTGTGCATTAAACTTTTAGGACAACTCAGCATAAACTGAATGATGGTGCTGGTGAGTGGGTTTGGGTTCCCCACCCCATCCCAGCATTTTCTTATTTGTTGATGACTTTCCTCATACCCAGCCCCACCTCTACACTCACCCCCACCTCACGAACCCCCCACTCCCAATTGTAAGGTTTTGAGGTTAAGGACTTTTGTCTCTTTTACTCATGGTCTAGAAGAGGGCCTGGCACATAGTGAGTGCTTAAAAATATTTTTTTAATGAACAAATAGTTCCAAACAATGAAATAAAAGGGACTGCTATTGTCAGGTAGCTGCGTCTGGGGAGGTCGCTCCCTGAACACTAGGTGAAACCTCAACCCAGGTGGGGGAGAGGTCTCGGCTCTGACGAAGAAAGACTTCTCGAGCAGGCCAGAGGAGTGTCGGTAAGGAAGGAATTATTAAAGCGAGAGTTAGCAGCAAATGACAGCAGCTGTGCTGGCAGCAGAGCGCAAGGAAGAGCAGAGGGAGGGAAGGGAAGCTCATTGCATTCCTGCTTCTCATAGGGCAGATCCCTCGCCCACTCCTGAAGCCAGGGTCCTCTTGAATCTGCACTGCGTGGGAACTAAGCTCCTACCACCCCAGGATTTGGGGGAGCCGCAGAGCACTGGATGGAGTGAGATTATCTTCTGAGAACTTCCCAAAGGCAAAGAAAGAAGATTGGGGGCAGGCTGCTAAAGAGCGTGATTGTACAGCTGCAGTCGGTCCTGATCATCCAGTGATGGGAACTTGCCGGCCCAAATCAGAGATCTCAGCAGCCCTTCCCTGCTTGTCTGAAGTAGGACAGGGAGAGAAGACTAGTGCTTAAGTCTAGAAAATTAAATGAAGTAGTGATACAAGAAAGACATTTACCACTGGAAGACCACAGAAACAAAATGCAGCAAGTTGAGCAGCAAGAAGTCTTTATTTAGGGCAAAGTACACACTTGAAGAAAGGGGATTATGGCCAACCTCGGAGAGGAGGTGCGGTTAAAGGCTTAGGATTCTGTCTTTTAAGGTTTTCAAAAATGGGGCAAAGAGCTGGAGTGGGGTGAGGGGTAGGCTTTACTTGTTGTCTCATGATGTCTGTCTCTGGTGAGAGACATCATGTCACCATCCCGTCTGTCCTCTAGATATTCTGTCAGCTTAACTTAACACAAGGAATTTCTCGATCATGTTCTCCAAGATAGTGGTTCACCTCAAGCAGTGGAAACATATCATTTAGGACTGCTTGCCCTGCCTTAAGATAGGGTAGGTTATTGGCCAATTACCAGAAAATATGTTAGGAATCTTACCTCCTAACTCCTGGTTTTTAAAATGGAATCTTGGCCTTAAGATGGAGTCCCTGCTCTTCTTACTATGCTACTTATATCTGAGCATTTTCATCATAGGCAGGAAAATTAATCATGATGCTTGTTTCATGTCTCTGCCCTACCTCACTATCAAGAGGTGCCTTGAAGGTTCTGACATAGAAATGGGTATATATCCTTGCAGAAGGAATTTTGCAAGACCAGCTCCTGCAGGGCATTCTGGATTTGGAAGGTAGAGCAACTTCCCTGGAATGGGGACTGTGTAATGCCGCTGGCCTCAAAGCCAGTGGGTTGAGAACGGGTTACTCCAGAGTTTCGGCTCTTGTCTCAGCGAGTCCATCATCAGGGGATAACTTCAGAGTTTCAGATTCATGTCAGAGAAATACAGAGATTTTTATATAAAATTATGTAATTCTGTTGTGTGATGTATATAGCATGTATGCCCAGATTCTTCCCTCTGGCTCAATTCTAGTTGGCCCTAATGTTCTCTATTTGAAGTAACAATCGCTTGATGTTTTACCCAGAATGAGAAATTAATGTAAATATTTCTTTAGGGCAGAGTTTTTCAATGCTTTCACTATTGACATTTTGGGCCAGATAATGCTTTATTATGTGTTGGGGGGTGGGGAGGTTGTTCTGAGTGTTTCTGGATATTTAGCAGTTTCCCTGGTGTCTACCCATTAGGTGGTAGTTGAATCCCCTCTTCCTCCAGTTATCACAACCAAAAACGTTGTATCTCCAGACATTGTTATGTGTCCCTGGGGAATGGGACAAGATCACTCTTAGTTGAGAACCACTTTAGAATTTAAGAAAATTACCTGAGCAAAGGATATACACACTTATTTCCTTTAACCTTTTTAAAACATACGTGAGCACCTCAATAAACTTTGTGGGCTTGAACCTCTAATAATCATCGAGAAGAAGAATTAAACAGTCATTGCCCGCTGATATACTAGGCACTGTCCTAAGCACTTTGTAAGTATTCACTTATTTGATCTTCACAACATGCCAAGAGGTGGATATAACTATTACCCCCATTTTACAGTTAAGGACACTGAGCTCGGGGAGGTTGAGGAATTCAGCCAAGATCACAAGCTAGACTGTCCAGACCCCCGGCGGTTTGATGCCACAATTCATGCCCATAACTGCTAATACTTAACGATATGCTGCGGTGACCTGTTAAAATCAGAGTTGTACTTTTGAGTTCTAAAAGCATGTGAGCTCTGAGTCAGACCTACTGGGCCCCCAGTCTTGGCTCTGCTACTTCCTAGTGGTGATTTGGGGCAGGAGTTTCAACCTCCCAGAGACAGGAATCACAAGGAGCACAGGAGACAAGGCACAGGCAACGTTTAACACACACAACTGTAGGAGGGAAGGCAATGATATGGCTGTGCATTTTTCTTTGTAAAAAGCCTAGATGTTAAAAAACTTACTGCAAATTTAAATTTTATAAATCGATTGCTTCTGCCTGGGTAAGCCTCTCGTTTTTGTTCTGTCTTATTTTCCCTCTGCTTTCTAAGACATGAAGTTATCAACATTAACTTGAGAAACAAGCCTGAATGGTACTACACAAAGCACCCTTTTGGCCAAATTACTGGCCTGGAGAACAGCCAATGTCACCTGATCTATGAATCAGTCATCACTTGTGAGTACCTGGATGACACTTGCCCGGGAGGAAGCTGTAGCCCTATGACCCTTATAAGCGAGCTTGCCGAAAGATGTTATTGGAGCTATTCTATAAGGTATATCCAATGTTCAAAACAACTTACACTCTATTTGGATGTCTTTCCCAAATTTCAATCCATTTTTAAAGCTAAACGATTGGTCAAAATGTTTTGTTTTAATACTATGTGTGCCTTAGGAGGATCAGTGGCATAGAATCATTGTAGGTCTATCACCTGGATTAACTGATAGACACTCTTCCATTTCAACTAGCAGTCTCAAGAGGTATGGTTATGGTGTAGTTATGACTGTGTGGCTTGAGATAGGAACATTGGAAGGGCTGAAAACTGGTAGTGCCTTAATATATCTAAGGGACATATCTAAGGTTTCAGGTAAAAAAATAATGGGGTGTGAAGAAGGTAATGCACAGAAGAGGGTTGCCCTTTATACAGAGCAAGAGTGTCAGCTCTTGGAAAATGTGGAGAAGAAAGACAAGGCAACACCTGTTGATAATGGGAAAAAAATGATGGAGAAATTTGAAAATAGTTTTCTTTGAAAAGAAATAAAAATAACTCAGTGATATTAATAGCTGACATATATTGAGCATTTACGTTGTGCCAAGCACTATCCTTAGTACTTTATAAATGTGAACTCATGTGAGCCTCACTACTGTCCTTTAGGGTGAGTGCTGTGATTGTATCCATTATTCAGATGAGGACACTGAGGCTTAGATAGATTCAGTGCCCCATCTAAGACTGTACAGCATGGAAGTAGCTGATAAAGTAAGAAAACTGGAGAACCCCTTTTAAAGGACCTTGTTTTACCAGGGTGCTATGTTAAGGGGATTCCTGGCAACACAGGGATGCCCCTCAGAGACAGCTGAGGAGCCTGGGTATGGGTGTCAGCCTGTTAAGTTAGGGTGACACAGTTTAGGTTGCATTTTTAGGTGGAGCAGGAATGTGGAGTTCCCTCAGACTTCTCCACTGAGAGCTTCTGTCCTTTGATTAGGCCCCACATTTGACCAAGCAGTGGCTGGTAGCATTGAGATGTGGGAGACAGTGTGCGGATCTGAAGCCAGCCCTGCGTCAGGAATTCAGCTCTCTTGAAGAGGTACAAAAAGGGGCCCCTCTCCTGGTCAGATATAGTGGAAGAAGTGATGCAGCGTCCCCAGTCTGCTCCCCCAGACACCCACTGCTTTCACGGACTTATTCTTTCTGCCAAACTTTGATAAGTTTGGCTACTAATCATCTAATTTTAACTTGTGAATGTTTACTCTCCACTAACTGGCTCTGGAATTATTCTTGAAAATCTGGCAAGGAGTTGGGAAGGATATGTGATGAATTTCTTCCTTTCCTGGAGTCACCACATCTGTTAACCACATACAGAGATCTGCTAAGTATGTCTGTATGGCTTCCTTAGCTTCTGCCTATGGGGCCAAGGTTTGGCTGCTAGGAAAAGAGACCTAACTACTATAAATTTATCTTATAAGGGTTTATTCTCTCACATAAAAGAGCTAGAGGTAGGACAGTTCAGGGCAATTTTGATGACTTCTTCATGAAGTTACCAGGAACTGAGTAATTTTCTTTCTGCTCTGTCATCTTTAGTGCAAGGCTAGTCATCCTCACAGTGACAGGACAGCTGTTGGAACAGCAGCCATCACATCTAAGTTTCAGGTTGCAGAAAGGAGAACAGAAAAGAAAGAAATGGCCAAAGGCCTTGCCCCTTTAGAGGGTTTTGCCAGAAGTCCTACTCAATGACTACTTAAATATCATTGGCCAGGACTTAATTGTGGGGTCATAACTATCTGCAGGAGAGCCTGGGGAAATTACTCTTTCTTCTGGGGACACCCTAAATAAAATCAGGGTACTATAATTAAGAAAGAAGGGGAAAGTAGCTATGGGTGAGCATGGAGCAATCTCTGCTAGCAGATCCTCCATTAACCTGGCAGTGATTGGGCTAGTTAACTCTTACCTCTAGAATAATCTGGAAGGTGGGTCTTTGACTTCCTTCATCTTTGTTCCGGAAACTGATATATTCCTTTTATGGCTGGGTTGTTACTCTGTGGGCAGCCAGACAATGCTGTTCTTATCTCCTTAAGGGAAAGCTGATATTAATACTCTTCCATTTGACCTTTGTCAAGTGGAAACAGATTGAATTATTTATACTTCCAGCTATCTTGGATTTGTACAGTTGCAACATTTATAGATGATAAACAGTCGTGTGTAGTCAACCTTTGGTCCTGAGACCACAGACTGTGGTCTTGACTCTGGAGGCAGGATGATGTGGTGGAAAGCGTATGAGATCCTCGGCCGGCTTTACTAGATTCCAGAACCTTGGGCTAGCTTCTAGACCTCTCTCTGCTTGGTTTTCCACATTTATAGAGTGAAGGAGTGTTTTGAAAGGTGTATTTTCTGAGCCTCTAGGTTCTGCAAAGGAATGGCCCAGCAAGGGGAGGTCTGGTGGGTGGTTCAGATCCTGCTTCACCCAGAACAGCCCTGCTTTTAACATCTTGTTTAACATGACATCTAATAAGGTAGCATCTGGGGAAGGAAATTTGAAAGCTCTTATACATAGAGAATTTTTAAGGTCTTTAGTTTAAAGATTAGCTGAACTGATTCCATCATGCCTGGTTAACCTTCTTACAGATAAATGCTGGGCCAGGGAAAGGAGGTTTGAATTCAAACAAAACCCTTTGAATTCAAAGAAAACTGAAAACATATTTTGATCTGTCACTCTCCTTCTCTACATTTGAATGATGGATGAACTCTGTAAATTGCAGATTGCTGCATAAATGTATAATGTGATGGTTCTTTTGTTGGGGCTCTTCCAGGGAAAGTGAACCCATATTTTTGTGCCATGCGCTATGCTACAGGTGTTTGCATCCACCATCTCATTTAATCTTCCCAACAACCGGCTCAGGTAAATGGTACTGTGCCTACTTTACAGATGGGAGTAGCCTCTCTCTGCAGGCCCTGAACTAGGTACTAGGTACCTAGGGATACAAAAAGTAAGCCAAGCTCTGGGAATACAAAAAGCTTGACTCTGGTCCTAGGACTGCAGAATGCAAAGACATTCACAGAGCTCAAAGCCCCAAGGAGGGAGAGACAGACTGTTACACCCATTTAAAACTATGGTGTACCAAGTACTATGCTGCAGACATAGCTAAGAGAGACCTGCTGGGTGGGAAATAAGGCCTCTGTTGACTTCTCCAGGATGGAGCAGAGGCACAGAGCAGAAAGACTGGTGTGTCCAGCAAACAATAAGCAGAGAGAGGTTAGTGACCAGGGAGTTATTGGTAACAGGTAAATGTAGAGGTGGACCAGAGTCTGGTGCTAAAGGGCCTTTTCCACTGTGCCAAGGAAATTTGTGCTTTCTACCAAACTTGATGGAGAGTAATGAGGAATTATTAAGCAGGGAATGGCGTGCTCCCTCTTGCTTTTTCAAATGTTCAGCCCAGCAACCTACTGTATAAAGGTTGGATGAGAGGGGGCAATATGGGGGATGGTGGCGGATTTTGGGGACCACATCAAAGTGAATTGGAGAGGGGATTTGATTGGTGATATTAATAGAGTGAAAAGAGCAGGGTCTGCCAAGAGGTTAGCATTGTTGAGGATGGTTTCCAAGTTTCTGCTCAGGAAATGTGATGCTTTTCAGAGAGGTGGAGGGAGGATCCATTTTGTCCAGTGTGAGGTACCGATTGGCTATTCATGTGGAAATACACTGAGGAAGGAAACCTGGGGGCTGTTCCAGACCTTCAGGAAGGTCCCACTGCCTAAGAGCTTGATTCTTTACAGACCACGCCCTTCTTCACACATGCAGCTTGGCAGCAGCAAGCAGGAATATCTCTTTTTGTTGAAGTCAGGGCTAAGTGGGGGAGGCAAAACCACTGAACAGGGCCACAAAATGCATCCATCAGTCATAAGAACAAGAACTGAGACTCAGTGTTTAACCTTTGTGACTGCTGTTTAACCAGAGATATCAGGAATATAACCAATGGTGTGGTGATAAATGTTTAACGACAGACTCTGAATAAAAGGGGGAGGGGGGAAGCCCTGATTTACAGCATTCACTGATTTCATGGTGTGAAGACTCCCACCAAAGGTTGGTCGTAACCTACCAATGTGGTACCTGTAAACTCCGAGTTGGGAAGATAACTCTGGAAAAACACTGAGGGAATGAGAATGTGTGCCTTCAGTGACCAAGGCCTTCAGCTTCCAGAGGCCACAGGACCCTTTATAATTCTTGGCATTCACGAAATTCACCTGTGGCACTTGACTTTTCACTTCCATGCAAAGTTTCTCACATCACCAAATTTGATTACATGCCCCTTATGTGTAGCAGTTTGCAAGAAATCAAATTTGCACAAATGGTGCATATTATCACCCAGGAGCTTCTGTAGTTAAATATCTTCAAGATTCAAAATATCCCCCATAATCTTAATTTTTAATCTGTCCTTTCTCCTCTCCAAAAATAATACAGTTTTGCCCAATTAGATTATACTGTCTTGGTTAAGTTTTGCTATTTTTCTTTCATAAATTTTATTACTTTCAATAATGAAATTACTTATATATTGTTTAATTGTTTCTCCTTTGATGTCATCATGACATGAATGAAAAAAAGTTTATACCTGGCTAATTGTTCACAGAAAATAATTTTCAGTAGTACAGCAGACTATTTACAAGCTAAATTAATTTTTTATGAACTAAATTTTTATCAACTGAATTCATTGTTACTAGCTATTTTCTATACCAGCTTTATTGGGATATAATTCACATACCATAAAATTGACCCTTTTTAAGGGTCCAATTCACTGGTTTTAAATATGTTCAAAGAAATGTGTAACCATCACTATGTTATTTCAGAACATTTCATCATCCTAAAAGAAACGTTAGCAGTCACTCCCATGTCTTCCCAACCCTGCAGGCATAGGCAACCATTAATTTACCTTTAGTGTCTATGGATTTACCTGTTCTGATAAATGGAATCATACAATGTTGTAGAATCATACAATGTTCGCATTTCATGAGCTTCTTTTACTTAGCATAGTATTTTCAAGGGTCATCTTTTATTCCTTTTCATGGCTGAATAGTATTCCATTGAATGGATATACTAATTTTGTTTATCCATTCATTGGCTGATGGACAGTTGGGTTCCCACTTTTTGACTATTACAAATAATGCTGGTGTGAACATTTGTATACAAGTTTTTGGACATGTTATCAATTCTTTTGGATTTGCTAGCTAAGTTAAGTGTCTACCTACATGCTATGTTTAGTTGAAACCACCATTCTTTCACATTAGGGAGCTGATTATTGTCTATTCATGATGGCTAGTTGAGTGGTCTAAATGCTGTTGCTAGTTTGGTAACTTCATTTGTTGTTCAATTCTGACAGCTGCTTTCTAAATAAACTAATACTCTATTTCTTTCAATAACCTTCAGCTCTACTATCTATCACCATGTAAGTAACAGAATAAGAATGATTATTTAGAAATTAATTTTACTCTTCT